AAATGACATGAGATGAACACTTAATAAGAAATAATGAGATAAAAGAATTATTTAAAAATACAAATCTTTCAAAATAATAACAGCTTTAATATCTGCTTCAGTATCTGCTTTACCAGGTCCTCATTGCTTCATTTTGGTAAGTGCAAATCTATTTTTAACCTAAAAAAACCTGCCATTTTTTAATTTTTTGATTTTGATTTTTTTACTATATCTACGCATTGAAGTAGAACATTTACAGCTAATATGTTTTGAGGGTTATTCTCACTTTCCTTGTTTTAAGTATGAGACCTCCAAAGTCAGAATAACGTCTCTTTGACTACAGAATTTAAAAATGTATAACAAAAATCTGACAATAATACAATATATTAGCTGAGTTACTGGTCCAGCATATGAAAGCATATGCATAGCCCCTTAAGTGTATTATATTTTCAGGACAGCTATAATCAGGTAGATTATTTTATATTCAAATGGAACAATTATTTTGTTTAATTTCATTTCACTTTTGGTGTAAATAAATATTCCTTTTTACATCCACAGCAATAAAGTAATATTTTAATAACTTACTTATTTTCATGTTTCCTTTTCCTTATTTAGGCTGGTTTTGCATTGTTTTATTCCTTTTTTGCCCCTCAGTTCTGTCTGAAAAGAAATAAGATTTGGAATCTAGACTTTGGAGAAGACTAGATCTGTGTGGTAATTGAAGTAATATTGAGCTGCTTAATAAGTGTAATAAGTAGTATATTTTTATGTCATGCACTGGACAAGGACTGGAAAGTAGCACGCATGAGCTGTTCATAGTACTAATAGTGATTCATAAGACAATTAAAGGGGGGAGAGAATTGCTATTCTACCTTAGTATTCTATTAAAATTATAAGATTGCCTCTAAACTTGAATAGAAGGAATTGATTAATGTAGCCCATAGATTGTAATTATTTTTTTCTAAAATAAAGTTATTGTTTATGGGTGTACATTAAAACATTTCTACCTTAATAATATTAAAAATACGTAACAAAATATGTTACCTGATTTTGAAGGTAAGTAGATAAATAACCTAAAAACTCCTAATCTAAGTGTGTGCCTAGTGAATATACTAATAACCCAGACACTTAAAATGAAATAACTGCTTCTACCTAACTGGTGAGCATTACCTTATAGCACCAGACAGATGAACTAATTCCAGAAAAATCTAGAAAGCAAGAAATATTGTGTTTGTACAAGGAAAAAGGAGCCTGTACACTGAAAAGCTGAAAAAATAGCTTTCCAGCTTTTGCTTCAAATCTCTGCTGTTACATATTCACTACTGTCAGTAGTTGTGGTTTGTCTGACAGACTTACAACTTTTGTTTTCTTTCTACTCTTCCTTCACCAGTATTTACACTGATACAAATTCCTGCCACTTGTCTCTTTACAATATCTCAGCCTTTCTGTTCAATCTGCTGACAGCATTGCTGCCTTTGGGTGTTCATTGTTTTCATACTTCTTTGACGTCTTACCGTCTTTCTTCTCTTCCTACCAAGAAATAAGCAAAAACAACTAATTTAATCTTCTGTTTTCTCTGCCCTTTGGATCAACCCACTCTCTTCTAAATGTCTTCAGCATCTTCCAAATTTCATCTTTTTATCCTCTTCTTCAGGCATATGTCGCTTAAATCTTTTGTGTTTATATCTTTTGTATATTTAAATCTTTTGTATTATTTCAGTAATGTTTTCCTTATTCAACATTTCTTGCCTAATCACTTCTTGGTACTATTTGGTACATTTCATTGTCTAAATTTCACTCTACATCTTAAAATTCTACAACAGTCCTTTCTTTATAGGATGCTTTTTATGTACCTTTTAGTTTTGAATGTATATTCTTTGACAGACCCAGTCTACTAACATACAACTCCATGGCTGGTGTCACCACCACAGTTAGGGGTTTTTCAATGCTAGAGTTGTCTTCATGGCACTAAGTTTGCTGGCATCAGATAGCATTTCTTATCTTTATGGAAGGTGTCTCTGGAGATCATTTATCCAACGCCCCTGTCAAGGCAGCATCACCTAGAGCAGGTTATATGCATGAGTGCTTCCAGGTGGGCCTTGAATGCCTCCAGAGAAACATTGAGAGACACGACCCCCCTGGGAGGTCTGTTCCAGTGCTCTGTCACATTCAGTGTAAAGCAGCTCTCCCTCATGCTGGGGTAAAACTTCCTGTGTTTTACTCTCCAAATCTGTCCCTTCTTATATTGCATGTTTAGAGATTCCTCCCTTGAGTGGGGAAACCTCTCAAGGTTACTCCTCAAGGTTGGGCAAAAGAGGTTTGCCCAAGGTCTTTGCTATGGGTGAATAACATCAATCTCTACTTCATAATTGGCTTTGCCAGGTTTAATATAATTGCTTTAATATAATTGCTTCAATATTGCTTCACAGTGCACTATATTATAATAGTTGTTATAGCGCTCATACTGTGCAATAAATAATTCTGATTAAAATATTTTGTTTTATCATTATCATAATAAAAACAGCTTGCCCAGAGAATCAGTAAATGCCCCGTTACTAGAAGCATTCATGGTCAGATTGGATAGCAATCTGAGCAACTCGATCTAGTTGAAGATGTCCTGCTCATCGCAGGGGGATTAGACCAGATGACCTTTAAAGGTCCCATCAAACCCAAACTATTCTGTGATCTTGTGATTCTATGATTCTATTTCTCTGTCCTCTAATCTTCATTCCAGTCTGTTATATATGAAGACATACACGTCTCTTTCTCTTTTTTAAGTTTGTTCTTGCTGTGCTTAAACAGAAAAATGCACAGAAATCAGGTGAGGGAGCAAAAGCAAGAGAGGTCAGAAAATATGATGGTGCTGTCACAACCTTTTGACATTGTGAGTACTTAGATGTTAGTGAATGTGGTTCAGGTAAGCTTTAAAGTAAGGAAAAAAGCTCTCACAATTTCTTCAGTACTTTTGATCTACGTGCTGGCCATTTTAAATATGTTTTCTGTTGTGCGGGTTTTTAAAATTTTTTTGCAAAAATGCAAAGACATTTATACTTGCTGAATTGCACAATACTCAGTCATTCAGCAACTCCTCCTTCAGTGACATTTTGCCTGGATATGCTCGTTATCACCATAGTAACTGAAACCCTTCCTTCACCCAATTCTACATGTGTCTTCCTTTTCTCTCATCCTTTCTCTTGCTTCTTAGGAAGAATTTATATGAATAAGCTGTTATATTAAAGGAACAGTTACATTTTGTGTAGTCAAAGTAATTGGCATATTTTCACTCACTCCACAAATTTAGGATAGGCTGTTTTTTAACTTTTTACATATGTGTGATCAATAATCACTTGTCTAACTATTTACCAATATTTTGTGATTGGCTTGTAACTGAAAGATGTCTGGCACATCAGAAAACACCTCAAGCAAAAAAAAATGAGTTCTACAAAAAAAGTGGACAGCAGAAATGGTACTCAGCCAGCAAATGGGAACAGGCTGAAGCAAAAGGTAAGATACCTGGTAAATTACCAATGATTTACACAAAGAAGTGCATATACCTATGCATCTAAAATAATATTAGTAATAACAATAAAAATATATTCCAAAGTTCATGAGCATTCAGACACAGTTGTCTCAAGTGAACCTTTTTCTGGATTTTCCATCACTTCAATGTAATGCATAGACATACTGATCACCTGAAAATTTTTTATTTTAACAATTATTGTTTCTCATGTGCACCTCAATTATGTGAATGATTTCACTTCTCCCAGGAAGAATATTTTTAATTTATTAAAACCCCCAAGAGTAGATGAATTACATAGAGAAATATATGTCCAAGGAGAAGACCTTCATACTACTGTTGTTCACTATTTATCAGTTAGTGTCTTCCCAACGTTGAAATACAGAGTCCTGCCCCAGAAAAACTGTCTTGATGGAAGATTATTTTGACAGACTACTTTTAAGTATTCCATCTGAGGCAAGGCTGATTAAGCACTCTCCTGGGATATCTTGAACTTCCATGAGAACCTGCATGTCACTGATTGCCTAATATTAGTCACGAAGCCAAAGGAAATAGCAGGAAATAGTGATCAGATCTTTCACAAAACTCTGAAGCACAACTTGAAAAACAAAGCTATTTTTCAAAGGTTGAATACATAGCCTGTGTCAGAGGTCATGACAAGATGGTTTTTGTACCCACACTGAGAGAGGCTCAAGGTTACTAAGGCTTAATTTACAGTGCCTGAGAAGGTGGAACATGAATTGAAAACTTAGGGGGTTCAGATAATCTTTTTTCTATGTCACATCCATAGTTCTTCCAGCCATCTGATGGGATCATGTAGGAAAGTCAATAACAGTTTTACCTCTTTCCTTTCCTTATGATAGCTCCCTACCTACAATCCAGATCTGTCAAGAACTGAGCTGGCACCCCAGTCCATATCTTGTCTAGTTATTCAATGATTTTTGAGTGGCTCCCTTTTCCATTACTGATGTATTTCCCAGGTTTGCACTGGTCCCTGTTCAGTCTACCAATTTGGATCGAAAATCCCAATATTGTCACTCTCTCCTGTCTTCTCCTTGCTAGCTGAAGCCTTGGGATAAGCATACATGAAACACACTTTCATGATGGTGGCTGAAGCTTCCTAGCAGGTACAATTCAGATCCAAAAGTCATAAGATCTGGACAAAGGTCAAGTTCAAAACCTCCTTACTTGTAAGGAGAAATTTAGATTAGATAAGGACGAAGTTCAGAATTAGGCAAAATTAATGGGTTGATTTATTTATTGACTTAATTATCATTAGTAACAGGTGGACAGACAAATAAAGACAAAACAAAAACACTGAAAGAAAGAAGCTTTTTAGTTATATTAGATGTCTATATTATGATGGCACAAGGTACTGTGGGAGTTTTTTTCTGTTTATCTCTCAAAGGAAAAAAAACCCTGACCTTTTACTGAGACAACTGTCTCTAAGGCAGCCAAAAAACATTGAGAAGTACAATAAATTGCTTATTTACTTTTGGGGTTGCCATGGGTTAAGCCCAGCCAGCAGCGAACATGGACACACATACTCATACTCCAACCCTCCACTCCCATCCTCTCCTGGTGGAGCAGGGCAGAGAATCAAAAGCAGAACTTTTAGGTTCAGACAAAAACAGTTTAATAATTGAAATAAAGTAAAATAAAATTATATCAGTAAATAATAATAATGAAAATAAAGTGAAAAAATCAGACCAAGTGATGCACGATACAATTGCTCACCACCCACTGACATATACCAAATCCTATCCCCAAACCCTAATTGGCTCCTCAGGTCAACTCCCCTGCATTATGTACTGAACAAGACTTTCTATGGTGTGGAATAAACTTTTGGGAAGCTCAGGTCTTCTGTCCCAGCCACACTTCCTCCTGGATTTTGTCCATCTTCTCACCAGCAGAGCATGAGACACTGAAAAACTCTTTAATTTAGGGTAAGCATTACTTAACCACAACCAAAATATCAGTGTGCCATCAGTGTTATTTTTATACTGAATGTAAAACACAACATTGTACCAGCTACTAAGATTTACTCTACCCCAGCTAAAACCAAGATGGTGATAGATATAAATAGGAAGAATATGAAACAACTGAAAAACAGAAAAAATCAAAATTATTGAATGTCAAAGGAACATTAGATCACTATGCTCAAAAATGTAGTTAATAAAAATATAATAAATATTTGAAAAATATATAGACTTCTGGAAAATTGAAATAGTTTTCCTGTATGTATTAAATTATTTAAATGCTACTAATGTTGCAGAATATTGACAGAAAATAGTCTAAATTTACATGTAATACCAGACTCCTTTATATTGAACTACTTATTCAGAGAACTGGATCTAAAGTGAGTCATCTTAAACACAATGTATTATAAATATTTAATAAGCTTTATAAGCATGGAAATAAATCAATATAAATAGGAATTAATCACCTAAAATCCATGTTTAGTATATTTTCTTGTGAATTCTTTAAATCTAAATTGAAAATGAGTCCTATTTTCTGAACTTTTACTATGATCTTGTGCTCAAGGGGAAAATAAGTATTTATTGTGTTCTATAAATACCTCTAATGTTCAGGGTTTTTTACCAAACCACACCTCCAAATAAAATGGAACACCATCAAACATAGGAAAAAATGTTTCCCTATTTTTTTTTAATTTATGATTTCATGAAGCTTATTAGCTTATTTATAAGCTTATTTGTTATTGTTGGAGATTATTATTAGCAGAAACAATCAGAATAATTTTAGCAAATTAATGCATATACTATAGTGCATGTGGTACAGGAGATCAAATTCATTCTTTTGCTTCATCATGGCAATGGTTTACCTTGCTTAATTAGTCCCTAGAGAAAATTCTTACAGGTAACTGACAGTAGACTGTGTTTGACTTTTGAGATTATGCCAGCATTCATTGTTCTTGACAGTGACATAATCAAGTTTTTCCTCCTAGATAGTAATGCATTAAATCACTAAAGGTACTTGCATGTTTACGGGATATGGTTTGCATAAGGAGGTATTTTTTTTCCTAAATGCCCATTCTGCATAAGAGTTTGTTGTTCTGCATTTATGTTCACTTCTAACTAGGAATTTGTACAAGACGATTCTTAGGAAATATAGTTAGCAAAAAAATTCCAGCAGTTTTGAGTGGTACCCTTTTTCTTTCAGGAAAATATGATCCTTGTGATTTTAGGCATATTTTATCATGATTCCATAAGTTGGGCAGACTCCAAAAATCCAAATGATGTGTGGAGATACACCATGTCTAATGAGGGCTGGGTTTAACGGTCCGTGTTCAGAATATTTTATGTGCTTCAAGTAATGTATTTTGATCAGGGAATGAAAGCAGTGTGAATACATTAGGGTGAAATTTTAAGGATTCATTACACGCAAATTTTTTATCTTCAGCACTTACTTTTTTCCTTCAAAATGGACCAGCTTTAGAAACTACTTCTTTTCTGAGAAATAAAATGTTTCACTTTCCCCCTCACCTTGGCTAAGTATTTTAAACATCCACATAATCTGAACAAAAATACTCAGACTCTTTGAGTTGCCCTGATATGTTACAGTCTGAAGAAAAACAGTGTTTGTTTTGCTTAATTTTTTATTTAAATACACTGGGTGTTCCACTATTCATATTCCCTAGAGTCTCTTGTGTTTCTCTCATAAGAGTACAGAAGAGCAAGAATGATAGTCTGAAAACTGTCAAATTGTAGAGAAATTAAAATATTTTAGAATTTTTTAAAATAAAATAATTAGTACTTTAAATGTTATTTTGAACCTCTGATCATTTGTTTTTTGGTTAAGAAATAATCAAAAATCCTATGAAATAAAGCACTTATGAAACCTAAAGCCCTCTTTTCCATATCTATCCTTCAATATTTTAAATTTTCCACTCTTCACCTCATCTCCCTTGCTTGTGTGAAAATACTATATTTGATTGGATAAAGAACAGAAAATAAAGTATTTACTATTCATTTATGAAGGGTTTAATTTTTAGTCAACTATTATTATAAGTATTATAATCAGTGATCATTCTAAAGAAAATACAGCATTTAAAAAAGCCTAGAAGTTAATCAGGCAGCCCATCTGATTGGTGACATTTGACAGTTGTGATAGTCTATATAGAGCTGATAACAATCAATATGGAAATACATAGAGAGAAGCTTAGAAGATCATGCATTCTCTTAAAGTAAATCTGAAGACATCATTGCCTTAATTTGCATTCTCTGAAAATGCTTCACTTTCACTGAATAAAGACTTTTCCACATCATGAGTCTATTCTATTCTGACCTTAACAAAAGTTTGGATGTCCCAGCTGGTACAAGATAGACTGTATGTGAGTTGTTGTCTTTTATTTAAAAGACAACAACTTTAAAGTATTTTTTAAATTTTTTCATAATTTAGAATATTTCTAACACTACTCCAAATACTTTTATTACCATCATTCATCAAAACTGAATTTTCTATTAAGACTTGACCATACCTTCTCTGTTTCAATAAGTCAATTTACTCAAATTTCATGGGAACAATTCTTTAACTGACTTCATTACTTGGGTATCTACATAGGTGGTTTCTGCCTCTTTGAGAGTTTCAGAAGTTGTTTTGAGTTGATTAAAATACCTGGGAACATATGCCTTAGTTCTACATCACACCTTTCTTCCTAAATATATCTGAACATGGTTTACTTTACAAGACAAATGAGGCAAACTTAATTGCCAAACTGATTTTAGGAAAAATGAGAGCAATTGTTTAGGTACATGGAATTTTGAATTGAGTTAGGCAGCAGCACAAACACTTCAAGGTATAGGCTAGACTTGTAATTTCATCTTCACAGGTCTGGTGATATGTCAGTTTAGTGCCATAGTGTTAAAGGTTTTCTCAAACAACTGGACATGAAGATTTAATTCTTAGTTATGCTTTCTCATAAGTCAAAATTGTCCACAGGCACAAAATCTGTGATTAGTGCAACCATGTTCTGATATATGTTTAAAGAAAAAAAAAAAAATATAAAATTCCACATTCTTTACATTATTAAACATTCAGCTTCAATTTATTTCAATTCCAGAAATGGAAATATTATTCAATTCCCTGCAATAATTAACAGTGGGAAGAAAATGTCATGCATAGAGCTGTAATCTTGATACTGGTGTTAAAGGTCTGCCTGAGTTAATGAATACAGCTCTGATGACGGGATTCAGGAATAGTTGAAAAGAAAGTAGAAAAATAAATGTTGCATATACATGGTTTATGATTTGCTATAATAACTGTTTTGAATGAGAATGAGAATAATTCTGAATGTTGATCCTTTCAGTACACCTAAAATTTAATATTTTCAATTTTTTCTGTGGTAAATTATTGTAACTAAAGCTAAGCTGACCTGGTAGTATATATTTACACATTTACTGAATACAGATAGGTAGATAGGCTGTTGTGTCACTTCTCTCACTTTTCAGAATAACACTAAAATTACATGATACAACTCTAATAGGAGCAGCTGAATGCATGATTCTAATCACAGACTAACCTTTATCAGAATACAAAGCTTTAAAATGATGAATTCAGTTCACAGGCATTGATGCAAGACTTTTTCAGCTATTCTGCTTGGCATAATGAATTTAATTTTTTTTTTATTTATTAGACTGAGCAATTGAAAAGCAGGTGACACTTAGCCAAAATACTTAATTTTTTCTTGGCTTTGAGTGAAATATTAAAAACTCACAAAGACATCACTCTGAGCCTTATAAGTGGTACTCTGTTTTAAACTATTAAAGGAATCTAGTCATTTATGTATTTGTCCAAACTGTAATAAAACAGAAATAGTCATCTTTAAAATAAACATTTTCCAGCTCTGCATATTACACCATAAAAATCTCCATCTCAGTTGATGGTGTTCATTCTTAGAGCTCCGTTACATCAACTTCTGTGATTTCAATTTGTAACTGTATTATCTTGCAATAAGCACCACTGGTTACCCCTCTGTAGTATATTCTGGAATGCTATATTTACAAGAATATATGTTGTTGTCCCACAAATAATGATTGTGTAGCTATGGTTAAAAACATAATGTTTTTTGTTGTTTTTTTGGGGTTTTTTTTGTTCCAGGTAGAAGATACATACTCTATTGATTCTGGATAGGAGAGTGGATTCTTCATTTTATGCTCCTTTGAACAGTTTTGGTTCAGTCCTTTTTTTCCTGCTATTCCTACAGGCATAAATGAAGAGATAAAAATAAAGCCACAGTAATACAGAACAGGAAAAGATAAATTCACATCCTTTTTTTCTGAAAATATAGGATCATAAGTTACTATACTGTCCTTTGGTGTTTTTCATTATAGTGAAACTGACCTTTCTGAATAAAAGGGTTTCTTTCTCCATGTGTAATATCCAATGCAAAGGTAAAAATAATTAGGAATAATTTTAGGCATTGGAACTCATGACCATAGCACTCCAGGAAGGGGACAAGTTAGAATCCATGTGTTTTTCAATGCAGGTATTGTTCTGGAAGCTTGAAACCTAACTGAGGGGGGCAACTGGAAAGCGGCTTTATCTTGCAGCCTTATGGTGCTTCTTTTTTTAAGAAATTCATACATAAAATTGTAACTAACCTAATGTCACTTGTAGTTTTAGAGGAAAAAAGGGATGATTAAGGGTAACTAAAAACCTATCCAGAAGACATGTTATAAACCTTTATATTACTGAGCCCCAAAGGACAAGGACAGAACAGCATCACCCAAAGAGAAGGTGAACTGCGGGCCTGGCTGATGTGTAACAGATAAGGTTTTATTGTTGCATAAAAAAAAGTATGAGGAATGAGTATGATGACTAAGCCCCTGAGCATCCATACTGCACAATTATCCTCTTCCTTTCTAGCTCTGAACTGCTCCAACTTTCTTTCTACTAGGGCCACTTATGATCAAGAGAGATGCCCACACTTAATGTGGTTAATTCCACTGCAGAGGGAGAGGTTCCATATCCATTCCTAGATAGATAGGCAGGTGAGTGGATGAGAAGAAATAAAAAGAAAAGAAAAGAAAGAAAGGAAAAGAAAAGGAAAGGAAAGGAAAGGAAAGGAAAGGAAAGGAAAGGAAAGGAAAGGAAAGGAAAGGAAAGGAAAGGAAAGGAAAGGAAAGGAAAGGAAAGGAAAGGAAAGATAATGTATATCCCAAAAGCTTCAGCACTTTAATTTACAGAGAGTTACATTGAAAGTGCAACTAAATCTGATAGTGACTCTGTAACACTGGCTTTCCTAGACCTGCAGGTCAATTCCCTCTTTTTTCCCTACATGCGCCTGTGTCAGTAAATCACAATGCTAGTCACATAAGACAGTTGTGCTATGGGACTTGCGTTTGAGTTATTTCTGAACAACGTCCAGTTCAAGAGACAGGACCACCAGTCTAAATTTAAAAAATAAGAATTTTCAGCTTTTCAACACTGAGAAGAAGTGAAATAGTTAACAGAATTCTATATGGCATTTGTTTTTTGAAGTTTGCTTTGAGAGAAAAAAATAAAAGGTGGATCAAAAAAATAAAATTAAATCTTCAAAAAACAAAGTACAGGTGAAGTACTACTTCAGGCCAACGTGGAGATTTATAATATGATAAAAAATTCAAGGAAATATAATTGCTGTGGAGTCTGATTTGAACATTTCTATCAAGATACATTTAGAGGGAATAAAGAAAAGCTAAGAAGAGGAGATAAAAAGTGAAATCTTAGGAAGAAATAGATAAAATGCATTTATCAAGTCTCTTGGTTCTATCTAGATCAAGTGATAAAAGATCTTCTTTTCTTAAGAGATACCTTGCCTTACCTTGGGAATAAATACAGGCTTAATAGGAGCAATGAGTGAAATCTAGCATATGAGCACCCCTCAGGATTATTGATTTGGTTTACATGATTTCACACTCCAGGCATTCCTCCCTGGAGATATTTCATAGAAAAAGTATAATTAACCAAGAGATGTTACGGATAACCTATTTAGAACTTAGCCACAAAAGCAAATCTATCCCTGTCTTTGCCAGATTTGTAAACAATCCTAGGATGTGTTTTCCTTATTAATGTTGTTTCTTTCTCTTTTTTTCCTCTTTTTTCCATGAAAAAGGCTTTAATTAACAATTCTTATTTAAAGACTTCTTAGATTTTTTTATACAGTTTTACATCTAAAAGAAGGTCCAGAGTTTTCCAAATGCTTGATAGGACTGCTTGTCCAACAGCAACAAATTTGCCTGGACTGGAGTTAAACAATGTTTAGAGAATGCAAGTATCAAGCTGTCATGGGGTGACTTTACCTTTTAGGTGGTTGTGAGAGCTAAGGAAGTTGAAGTTGCTGGGGACTGATGGGAGTCTTTTCTCCTGACCAATTATCGGTCATTACTGGGAATTGACAGCAGTTTTGACCATTGAAAAGTAGGATCAACTTGTGAACCCTACCTTAAAATGTAAAGTCAGGACACTTTTGCGCTCTTTGTTTCCTGGCTGTGAAAGGTAACAGAGCTCCAGGCCTCCCGTTCCCTGCCCAGGCCACGCGGGCGGGGACTGGGCTGGGCCCAGCGGCTCCCAGCCAGGAGATGGGGCCTGAGGGGCTTGCCCCGGGCTCTGGCTTGGCTGCAGGTTTTACTGTGACTAAATTTACTAGAGACTGCCGAGTGAAGAAAGAAAGAGGCTCTGAACCTGCGGCAAGCAGAAACAGCAACCACACTCTCCAGAGCAGCCATGAAGAATCTTCTATCGCAGACAGCTCCAGCTGCTGCTCTGGCAGAGATCACAGAACCAGCTACAAAGCCTGGGCAAGATTTTAACTCTTTCATTACCCAGATGAGACTTGCAGATTAATCCTTTTATCCAGAGAGAGAAAAAGAGAGTAATCAACATGAAAAGAGACTTTATAAAGTATCAGAGACAGAAAAGAAGCTTCAGAAAAGGTAGAGAATAAGGAGATGCTTTAATTAAGATGAAATATTTTTCTGTTAAAGCTATGGAGATGGACAATAAAGTCCTGAAAGAACTCCTTCAATTCATGATAGAGTATGTAGGGAGGAATGGAGTGTTCAAAGTGTAAATTTTGAGTAAAAAGTAGAGTAATTGTGATACAGTGAAGTGCTAGAAGATTTGAAGCCTTGGGGGGCAATGAAAAACTGTTTTCCAGTAGAGCTCATAGAAACAGATGAAGAAGACTTTTGCCTTTGAGTAACTCATCCTTAAAATGCCATCCCTAAACTCGTGGCCCATACAAACTTCAGAGTGATGTGAAATGGGAGGAGTGAACTCTGATAACAGCAGCTCTGGGCAGCTGACATCAGGGCAATGGAAAACTATAACACAGATAGTTTTCTTGTGAGAAACTCCATAAATTAACAGAACGAGACTTCTGTTTCTCTACAAAGACTGGTGAAATGACAGTAGCAGGAATTGTGACTGTTTTAACCATCAAAGTTCCAAAGTTTTTGTCTCTGTTGTCATGTGAACAAAAGAATGGTAGGTAGTAGAAGATAAAAAGAGGTTTTCTGGAATTTTATTCTGGTGTTCTTATTATTGTAGTTTGTTAATAAACTTTCTTTATTCCTTTTAAGTTTTATGCCTGTTTTGCTCTTGTTCTAATCCATATCTCACAGCAAGAAATAAGTAATTTTTTTAGTTACTAGTTTAAAACCACGACACAAGCATAGTCATTCTTTAATGTCAGGATGAATGATAGATGGTTCATTGCCCCACAATGAAGTATCAACATTCATTATAATATTTCATTTTTGACTTGGCAGTTCTTGATTCTCTTATCTTTTTCTTTCTGCACAGAAGGTATTACAACCAAGAGAACTTGTAAAACTGTACTTCAAACTAATTTTAGTTTGTTCTTTCTCTGTGTTTTTTGATACTTTATATTAAATTAGTATCAAATGCCAGTCTAATACATATTAACTTTATTCTGTTAAGAACGCTGACATCAGCAAGTGTCCTAGAGATCATCTCCAGTTTCTGTTATCAGAAAAATGAGGCACACATTGAAAAATGAGGCACCAAGACATCCAGTTGAAGGTTCATTTTTACTGAAAAGGATACTGAGCAGGCTACGCTCAGCTCAGAGTGTAGCCCCAAGAAGTTCTCTGCAAACTTTGATTTTTTTCTGAAAAAACTTATGCATTAATTCAGCATAGTGTTTCTTTACAAAATTTTTAGTTGAAGCAGTAAAAAGTGAGCTCTTAGAGATTAAGGAACAAATCTCCTTTCATGTTATGCTCCAAATCTTGCTACAGGCAAAAAGCAAACACACTTAATATTAAAAAACCCCAAGAATTTTTTCTTAGCGCAACTGAAATATTAAAATGCTAAACAAAGATTTATTAGTAGCCCATATCTATTTATTGCAGGAAAGTTTAAAAAATTAAAAATATGATTATATCCAATCCTTTTTCTGGTATTATGCTGATCCTTCTGCTGCCCTTGGCTTCAGTCACAGGAGCGACTACAGTGTGACACCACATCCTAAGCTCTTCTCCAACAGGTACATTGCTGATTTATTTTTTTTCATTCTAGGATCTGCATAGTTTTCTTTAACTTGCGTGTGAACTGACTCCACACCTGGCTCTACATTCACTGGTTTGCAAACCCATGTTACATTCAAATTTTCTCTATATTTCATACATATGTATATGGTACATTAGATCCTTGTTCTTCATTCTTTTTTGTTATTTTAAAATTTGTTTTGCCCAGCTCATAGGTCTGCAGTCTCCAGATATTGGTGGGTTATTTGCAGTCTTAAGATTTTCACTGTCAGGATATGCCCTTGCTCTAATCATGCAGCACCTGTATATTTCTCCCTTATGGCAACTACTCAACTTAGTGGAAATATCTTTCCACATGTCAAGGCCCCTGCTGTCATCTGAAATTCATCCATACTCACTCATAGCTCAGGACTAGCAAGCAAAGATCTCTGGTTCTGTATCACAGCTGCCAGTAGCTGCATACTGAGTAAAACTGTAAATTTTTCTTTTCTATGGATTTTTAAAGTAATTTCTTCAACCATTTAGGCCATTTCCTCATGGGTGGAATTGATGGTTAATTCCATCTTATTAAAAAACAGTAGTTCTATAAAAATTTGTTTCTTATCTTGAATTCTATTCCACACTGGTTTTCCAACAATATTTCCCATACACTAATGCATTCTCAAGCTGGGACTTGGAAAATTATCACTTAAGTACCCCAATTTGTATCTGTTCAGATAGGAACTTTGCTGCTTGTCTTGCCTTGTAGAACAGAGGGGAAGCCCTGTACTCCAGCTGCATGTACTGAAGGTGGGGGAGAAACTCTGTTGAAGGATGCATCCATCACCAAGTCTGCATGAATACTGTGTCCTCTGAGAAGAATGCAAGCTTCTTTCCTTCTTGTGTGGTACCCATTGAAACTGGAGGGATTGGTGTAAATTGGATGCTAAATGGTTGTACTAGATTGGGAAATCCTGAGGCATTTAATGTGGGCTAACCTGGGTTTTGGCTAATTTGGGCCAGTCATGGACCTTATCTCCAGCCCCATTCTCTGCTTTTTCTTAAACAGCTCAGTTAAAGGTCTACTAAATTGTATACATATGGGTATAAACCCTGAGAAAATCAGCTTCTACAGAGTTGTTAACTCATGTACATTTGGAGGGACAAAGACTTATTTTCTTTGTTTTATTTGCTGCTCAGTAGTTGTGACCATCACATCATGTGGCCAATGTTCATGTCAACATACAAAGTGAAAAAAGCATTTCACTTTGTATTATTTGAGATTGAATGTGAACAAGAATTAATAAATCATCTGCATGTGAAATTACGTGGGCTCGGTTAACTTCTGATATTTTTGATGTGACCATATAACACACGCACCATATGTATGTAGGGCATTGTGAACTTCTCGACTAACTCAAGGAAAGCAGACCCACTGAGCTTTGAATTTAAAGACAAACCTGAACTAACAAGTCCAGGAAATGTGATTAAAAATTTTAAAAAAAGTAATTTTCCCCCCTCACATTGCCTTAGAACATGTTTCTTTTAGAACCTTTGGCATTTTTTGTTGCAACACCATTTAGTCATTACAAGGCAAAACAGTCCATAGGTAACAATAATCAAACTCAGACAATGTTGTAAAACTAGTGGATAATTACCTTGACAGAATAAAGTCTGGCTCTTACTGAGCATCAGCCTCCAGGGCATGTGGTCTGAATCAAAATATTTCACAGATCTGGGCTTTGAGACATTAAGTAACTTGAGCATTTTTATAAGTTCCTCAGTGCAGCTTAACTCTTCACTGTATTTTTAGCAGTCATCTACCATTGTGAGCAACCTATTAGGTTTGTGTGGGACTATAGCAGTGACTAAAATTATCTGTGTGTTTGCATGCATATTTGGTTTGGGCCTATGTAAATAAAATCATATAATTTTCAATTCCATGATTTAAAGAAGATTCTTAAGAAATAAGAGAAAGAAAGTAGGAAAGCAGAGCCTCTGAAAACTAAGCACTTCAGGGAAAAAAAAAATAAAATAAGAACTGTGAAGTTCTTACATACTGATGTTATAAAATTGGAAATAAGTTGATAATTGAATTGTGGTAACATAATAATATAATTCCAGAAATTAGTGACAAGGTGTTAATAGCTGGGATATGAAGGAGATAGTCCTCTGGGGAGTTAACTCCCACGACAAAATTTTTAAATTATTAGAATAGGTATATTCCTTACCTTTCTTAGCAGAAGTATAGGAAATATGTCACACCAAAAGGGTTTTTTGGGGCAGCTTTGGCTGCTCATAGAAGAAGGACAGAGTACTCACAAACTGTTACTAATTTCCCAGTGTTAAGGATATAAAATTTTGCTGCCTCAATAATCAGAAACTGAGGCTAAGGCTGCTATTCAGAAAAGAATGAGCTGGGATGGATCACCATGAAGATAAATGAGGGAAATACAGGGAAAATTATCTCTAATAAAACCCATATACTGATTCCCTTTTCTAAATGCAAAGGCAATGACTGAACAGGGTTTCCAGGGCACAGGAATAGGCAAAGATGTTAACAGCTGCATGGTGCTTCTGCTGCTTCCATCCATCCACTGCCCTGGGCAATCATCTGTTTTGCCTATGCTCAAATGCAAATGTGAGGTGAATTTTCTAATTCTTTCACAAACTAATATTTAAATCAGTGTATTTATAGCAATTTGCATTATATTAGAATTTATATCCATGGATATGTTGTTATTCTTGAAATGGAAAATGACAGCTGAAAATGCTGTTAGGTTGTCTCCAGTAATGTATTTGCTAGTGTATGAAACTCTGTGCTTGCATTCAAACATATTAGCATATGTCTCTAATTCTCTGTTTGGACATGTTTTTGTGTTCAGGAACACTATTAAGGAGTCATGGGATAAATTTTAGCTAGGTCTTTGTCTATCCAAAGCATTTGGGTAGTTTTCAACACACCTACACACATTTTGATGCATGCAGTTT